ACAACAAAATCCCGATGTTAAATACTAAAAGAATTAAAAAAAAATTTTTTTTAACGTGTATTTATTATTGAGAGACAGAGCGTGAGCAGGAGAGGGACAGAGAGAGAGGGAGACACAGAATCCGAGGCAGCCTCCAGGCTCCGAGCTGTCTGCACAGAGCCCGACGCGGGGCTCGAGCTCACAAAGGGCTGAGGTCGCACGCTTAGCTGACTGAGCCACCCAGGCGCCCCTATACTTAAGGAATTTTAAAGAAAACTGCTGTGCTTCGCTGACAGAGGTATGTGCATACAAGAGGTTGTACCAATTCTGAGGTGCCCAGAAGACCTGGGTTTCCTCTTGAGCACTCCCTGGGTGATTAATCCCTTCCCACACAGGGGCCTGTTTCCCTATGAAATTCCTAGGTGATCCCTAAGGAGTTTTTCAGTTCTAGAAATGTATGTGTAGCCCTGGTAAGACATACTCGCTGCAAAAAGGCTTTATAAAAGGAGATATCTTCGCCTTTTTATAAAAATACTGTGGGGTAGAAAAATCGGAACGAATTAAGTTTAAGTAATCTCTACACCCACGGTGGGGCTCGAACTCACCACCCTGAGACCAAAAGTCACATGCTCCACGGACCGAGCCAGCCAGGCGGCCCTGAATGAATTACGTTTCAGTCAGGCGTCTCCATAGGTGAAAATAATCCAGGCTGGGTGAATGAATTAACAAATACAAAATTTTTAATAAAGCCAGTAAACAGCTCTGAAAGGATTCAGCCTTCCCAAGGAGCCTGGGAGGGAGGCAGTGCAAGATTCTCGATCCCATTTTCCAAACGAGGAAACCTGGGTTCAGAAAGCGTAAGTAGCTTGCCTCTTCCGTAATCCACCGATCGTTATCGCACTCACTTCACCTCATCGCCGCCTTCAGCACTAGAGTCCCTCCGAGATGGTAGTCCAGGGTCAGTGCAGCCCCAAAGGCCAGGTGGGTAAGGCTGCTTCAAGTCAAGCCACTTCCGCCTTCCTCAGGCCTGACTGGGCTCACTACCCTCACAGCCCGCGCTGCCCGAGTCACGAGTTTTCCTCGGAGGTCCTCCCCTCCTCCTGCTGATTGGGTGGTTCTTGAACTATTTCTGTCCTCTGATTGGTTGTTAGCCCTTCGGCTCCCACCCCAACACCGCCTAGACCAACCGGATATAGGGGCAGGGTTTCCGCTTCCGCCTTCTCCCTCCCGCTAGTCGTCGGATCGCGGTCGCCGCCACAGCTGCCGCTGCGGGGCGCGGTGTCGGTGGGGTGGTTGGCTTGTCTTTCAACGTTGGTGTCCGTGCCGTTGAACTGCCCGCCATGGCTGAACTAGATCCGTTCGGCGCCCCCGCCGGCGCCCCGGGCGGCCCCGCGCTGGGGAACGGGGTGGCCGGTGCCGGCGAAGAAGACCCGGCCGCGGCCTTCTTGGCGCAGCAGGAGAGCGAGATTGCGGGCATCGAGAACGACGAGGCCTTCGCCATCCTGGACGGCGGTGCCCCCGGGCCCCAGCCGCACGGCGAGCCTCCGGGGGGTCCGGGTGAGAGTGCGGGCGCGTTTGGGGCGGGAGGACTTGTGTAGAAACTTGGCCCAGGGTGGGTCTGAGGGCTCTGTGTAACTTGTTTTTTGCTGAACGGGGTGGAGGGTAAGGAAGAGTGCAAGGAGGAAACGAGACCCTGGCCCAGTCATTGCAGAAACCTAGGTTCGGTGAGCCTACTCTGTCGTATGAGTGTGTTTAAGTGCTCCTGGACGGGATAGAGCGAGAAAGCAAAGAAAATAGAGTACTTGTAAGGCTGACGAGCCTGAAGAAGCCGGTTCAGCTCAGGAACTTTTCATTGAGCACTTGCTGTGCTTTGAGCCTGGCCTCTGAAACATAGCCGCATTGGCGCAGTTTGGCTAGACTTAAAGGCAAGTCTGAACCCAGCACAGAACCAGTTACTGGGAAAGGAAGGCAGAAAAAATGAGCATAGTGCTGTCGTTTTGGGGATATACACCGACAGAGGTGGCAATACAGTTCAGCATTTAAGGACTTCAGGGGTGTAGAGTTGGATTATGGGGACGAAAGGAGGCGTAAGTAGGGAACTCGAGGAAGGTGGCCTAGCCCTGGAGGAAGAAACTCCAGCCAAAGAAGGATAAGAGTTTTACCATTTATCGGACGGATTACAGCCAGGATTTCTGGAGCTCTACTTCCTCTAGGAACAGCTTTGGTAAGCAGTGTTGCCTAAGCAGAATTTAAGATTAGCCTGGACTAGCCTTCCAAAAGGTGAAGAGAGAATATTGTGTGGCCTTTTCCCAGCCAGGAGTCTGGCAAAAACAAAACCAAAAAACGAGCCTTAGGATGCCAGCCCGACCTTTGAATGCCTTAGCTGTGGGTGATGTTTGGAATTATGGTGGAAGGAAGAGATGAGTGGAAGAGACCTTTCTAGTCATATAGGGAAATAGGAAATTAGCTGGAAGAAGTAAGACCTGGGTTTTCATTTACTTAAAAAAAAAAAAAAAAAAAAGAATTAAAGGAGAATAGGGCACAGTAGGGCAGATAGGAGTGCTTGTACTACAGCCTTAAAGGGCCAGGCAGATAACATTAATGAGAGAAACCTGCTGGGAATGAGACGCTAAGGAGTATTGGAGACCGAGATTTTGTTGCACTGTAGTTGTGCTCTTCATGGAAGGATTCGGACTCAGAACTCTCAAATTACTGTGTCAGCCAAGCGGAACCATCTTTGTGAGTAGGAGTGGGGAGACTGCTTGTTTACAGACTCTTGAGTTTTTATGCTGCACCATGGTACCTCCTAAGCAAATCAGTCCCCCAATAAAAACTTACATGAGAACATACGATACACTTGAAAATGCAAATTACAGCAAGCAGGTGGGACTGAACTGTGAACTGGGCTGTGGCAGGAGATGAAGTTGGCCTTAAGTGAATAGGTTTTTGCGGTTGGGTGGTGTTAACATTTGCCGGAGAATCATAAATTTACTTTTTAGATCCTTAGTTTACTTCCCTCATTTAATAAAAGAAAACTTGAGTCCTACAGAGCAATGACTTGCTTAGGAAAAAAGGGCAAGTTTATTTCTGTGCCCCAAGTCCCCCTGCCCTTTGGTTGTACCATGTTCTGTTGCAGTTGTGTCAGCAGGGGTTTCGTGGGATAAGAGGTGGTCATTTCTGAAAGGTACAGAAGTAGGCAGTTGTGGCTACCTTGGGTAGGACAGAGTTCAGAGAATCAGGACCCATAGTTAGGAAACTGTCCTGATCCAAGGACAGTGTTACTCTTGCTCACGGTTGTGTCCCCAGTGCCTAGCAGGGTGTCTAGCACGTAATAGATACTCAAAGGAATGAACAAAAATATTTGGTCTGAGAGTCCTGCATAGAAAGACAAATGTTGGTGATGGGCAGTTTGGAGAGGTAAAAGGGAGGGGATAGGTCCCCTGTGCATTAAGCTTTCAGCAAAGGGAAGGAAGGGGTGGTTGCTGACTTAGTTTCTAGGAAGGACTTTGTTAGTGACCTAAGCGTTCATGGACTTGAAGCCAGTCCCCTGACAGTGCAGTTGAGATCGGTAATAGTGTAGTGGTCAGCACTTCCTTTGGGGATTAGAGAACTAGTTGGGCTCTGCTTTCTTTCCTTTCAAAGAGGCACTCTAGTAGTTAAGATTCTGTGCTGTCCTAGACTGCTTGAGCCCGAGTTTAACTTTGTGGTTTCAGGCAGCTTCCGTAACCACCGCTGCCTTGTACAGATAGATCTACAGAGTTGATAGGATTACATTAGTACCTGTAAAGCGTTAACACACTGTACTTGGTATTACTTGGTAGTAATACCACAGTTACCTGGCTGTACTCTTATTCCTTGGGAGTAGCGGGGAGAGCGAGGCATTACGAGGCTTATGGGCCTTGGGGTGTGCTGAGGAAACAGATTTTAGGAGGAAGCCCTGTATCGGATGTGTTACCGTACAGAAATATATGGGCAGGATGCTCTAACAGATTCAGGAAAGAGGAACATACTTAAACTTTCCCCAGCCTTGGGGGAAACTCCCATGAAGGATGGGAACAGGCAAAAACCGGAGGGCCTGAGCCTTGGATGACTCCCTCGGAGAAGAGAGGTTAGTTTCGAGGGGGGGAGGGTGACCAGCTGAGTGAAGTGGCTCGCGTACTGAAGAGCAAGTAGTCAGGAAAGTGGCAGCATAAGTCTAGACCTGTGGAAAAGCCTCGATCGTGACGGCTAAGGAGGGAGGGGAGACCGTGGGTAAGGAGCTACTGAGAGATTATGGCAGTGAGGCAATATTTGTTGTTTCTGACAAGTCTATCCTTGGAGAAGGAGGGAGGGAGGCACATGAATTAAAGTTTTCTGGAGGAGGAGAGTTATTTTCTTGGTAGCAGTGGAGGAGAGAATTCAGGGAAGTCTCATGCATGATAATTAGTAGTACTGCCTACTTAATGTATGCCAGCTTCTTTGTGGTTTTACATCCATGCAGTAAGCGCAGGCTAAGTAGTGGCGTCCTATTACAGGTAAGAGCTGATCATGGGGGAAGTTGAGCAGTTTTCCTAAGGTAGCAAGCGAATACATGTCTTCACTGGAATTCAAACCAATGTGTGCCTGACCCCCAGTGGATGGGGAATGTGGGAGTCGAAGTGGGTTTGGGACAAAGTATCTTCCTTCTCTGGAAACTCATTCTGGCCTTTGTTTCTCTCTGGAGTTCCTGAGATGCCCTAGGAAGTTTCCTTCTGGAGCATCAGGTTACTTAGCTTAGTTACCCTAATAAATCAAGGCCCTAAATGTCGTCTATGCATGTTTTTGTAGCAATAGGAAATTCTTGGACTTGGGCCAGCTGAATGTCTGTACAGTAACTAACGAGCTCAGATCACTTGCCAGTGGGTTTTGAATGAGACTTCAGACCTAAAGGACAGGCAGCATGTGACTTAGGAGGAGGTATGGGATGACAGTTGCTTCTAGTTTTGTATATGGACTAGCGATCAAAGTCTCTTCCTGTTGGGAATGGCCCTGGGTTGGAATATATTAAGGACAGTTGGTGTGTTAAATGTAATAAATTAACCAGAATTTAGGCTTAGGCCTGACCATACTAGCTATTATAAGCTCTAGGAGTCAAGATCATCTCACTCTTTCTGTCTTACAAAAACTAAATTCCAGGTGGATTAAAGAGAGGCATTTTTGTTATTTTAGTATCAGGAAAAGTGACTATCTCAGAGTATAAAAGTCCTTCAGCATAAAAGCAGATACAGAAATCCTAAAGGAAAAATTGATAGTGTCCACATACAAGTTAAGTAGCTCTAGTTGTTAAATATTATAAATCATACAAAATGACAATGGGAAAAATATTTGTAATAAGAGGACAAATAATACAAAGCGAATATTTAGAGATCAGAAGACACAAAAATGGGCAAAATTCTCACAATTCAGTAAGGAAGAAAATCAGACGTCAGATACATGACTACCTCACAAGAAATAAGATTGACACAACAAAGCCACCTTAAGTTTTTTCCCTGCTATCAAATTAGCCAAAATTTAAAAACCCCAAACTCAGTCTTTAGTGTCATTAAGAGTCTGAGAAATGGGGACACCTGGTTGCTCAGTAGGTTAAGCATCTGACTCTTGATTTTGGCTCAGGTCATGATCTCAACAATTGTGAGATGAAGGGCTCTGCACTTAGCACAGAGTCTGCTTGGGATATTCTCTCTCTCTCTCTCTCTCTCTCTCTCTCTCTCTCTCTCTCTCTCTCCCCCTCCC